GCAACACACGTTCATAGATACTAGTATATATATATATATATATATATATATATATATATATATATATACATTGACTATTTTTAGTTGAAGAGATTAGATGGACGGCGTTTTGGATTAATTCATCTTTAATTAAACTAAAGCCCAATGAAAAGTACAGAGCCAGCAGCTTAGCCAATGTTGGAGGGAGGAGACCTCGTTGACCACAAAAAAGTCACATGTTCACGTGTCATTCACATGTCAACACGTGGCTCACTAGTCAGCCAACGATCTGCGCTGTAATTTCCCTGGTGATGTGGCAACTTGTGACTAGATACTTAGCAGATGATCCTCCTTTTGCACAAATTTGCCAAAATCCCATAGAGAAGAAAGCAGAGCGAGTCATAAGGCTATGTTTAAGCAAGTAACTTATTCTGATTTGTATATCAGCAACCATATCACTTTTATAGCTCACGTTTCTCCACGTGGAAATCAATGCGACACCAAAAAGCACGTGGACAAATAAAAATGCCAATAAAACATGTGACTATATAGGATATAGGCACATGTCAACATGTATTGCCACTTTCTTCATGTTGGTAAATGATTTTAGTAGTTTTCACAAAACTATAGTTTCCTTTACCTTGTACTTTATTGTAACTGTTGATCGCGTTTGAGTTTTTTGTTTAGTTTGGAAGTGAGACGTAACTGATTGTTGTTAACGTCTTGAGTCTGATAAGAGATTTCTGAATATCGTAATAGTTATCAAGCTTGAAATTAAACGTGTCGAAAGCCTAAGAAACTCTAATTTGATCCCAGAAAGTTAAGGAGGGATCGAAAAAGGAAAAAAATATCATTTTATGTTAGTAGGTTAAATGTATGGAGCCTTTATGTGATGTCTGTGGGGTGGAGAGGGCAGTGGTGTATTGTAAATCAGATGCAGCTAAGCTTTGCTTTCCTTGTGATGGAAGTGTACATTCAGCAAATTGTTTATCTCGAAAGCACGTTCGTTCTCTCATTTGTGACAATTGCAGTTCAGAGCCTGCAATTGTACGTTGCATGATTATCGTAATGTGTTTATGCGAAGGCTGTGATTCGAATACAATTGGCTGCAATATGGTATCAAGGCATCAGCACCAGAAGTTGGATTCTTATACTGGATGTCCATCTCCAGCTGAGTTTATGACAAAGATTTTGTCAACAACTTTTGATCAAATGCCTAATAATAATGTACATAATGTTAGCAGCTTTGATACTACTAGCTCATTGAGTGTCAATGAGAATAATTGCTCAATTGTTGCTAGCAAACTCAATGAATTAGCTTCTTCTATGAAGTTTGAACCATGGGCAATTCCTTCAAATTCCACATACTTGACAACCTACAACATAGATCAAGCACCCTTCTTTTCAGAGGGATCTAGCCTCCCTACGGTTAGTATGCTTTCTTTTTATATTGTGTACTAATATCATTTGCAGTTCTAGGGAATATGTACTACTACTACCTATATGGTTTAACTTATATACACTGATAGTATCAAGAATTTTCACACTATTAGTGTTACCTATTGCGAAGGGGTCCCTTAGAGCAAAGGTAAAATTGTTTTTGTGTGACCTATAGATCACGGGTTCGAGTCGTGAAATTAGCCACTAATGCTTGCATTAGGGTAGACTACCTACATCACACCCTCTAAGTGTGCACCCCTTCCTCGGATCCTGCGTGTACACCGGATGCTTTGTGCACTGGACTGCCCTTGCTGAGTGTTACCTGTTGTACCAAGTAACTTGCCTTATTTTCAGTTTTCTAATTCAACTTAATATGGACGGCTACCCGTAGTTTTCTTTTAAGTGACCTGATCATATACAATTCTTTTTACATTGTTTATTTATTGAAGTTAAACTCTATGCTATAAAGACATGCCTAATTTCTGAATGTGTTGACCAGTAATAAAAAGTATACACTAATTCTGCTTTATTAATTTGCTTTAAGTGCAGCAAAGTTGTACCACTATTAAAGATCATGGAATTTATGGAGGTGATGATCTCGCGGAAGGTGTTGATTTAGACGAATTGAGTTCCGATTGTAGTTACAATATTTTCAGCAGTTTACAACAAAGTCATTCAAGATATTATAGTGAAGACAGGGGATTGGATTGCCTAATAATGGAGAAAAATTTATCTGTCATTGGGCCTAATAGTCATGTTGAAACTGCACTAGAGGTACTTCTCAGACCTATATTTGTGCTATAACTTCTTTAAAAGAGCTTTAAGAAAACCTACCAGATGAATTAGACAGTAGATATTTTTGTTTTTGTTCGTAGAATCAGCCACTGATACTTGCATTAGGGTAGCATGTTTACATCACACCCCTTGGGGTACGGCCCTTCCGTAGACCCTGCTACGCCGGATGCTTCGTGCACCAGGCTGCCCTACAAGTGCATATTTTAGATTGTTTTATAAAATGTTACTTACAAATGTGCTTAATCTTTAATTGTAATTTCAATGTGTATTTTGTTAGGCACCATGTTCAGTGAGTGGAACTGCTAATAGCATGTTTATGAATCCAAGTTGTAATGGAGACACTGTCTTAGCTTTTACACAAGGACCAGTTCATTCAAGGTCATTGTCAATCTCTAACATCACCACAGAAAGTAGTGAGGCAACTGACTATCAAGATTGTGGGTTTTCGCCACTCTTTCCGCCTTGTGATTGGAATTCAGAAACTAGTTGTGTACGGGCAAGGAACGAAGCCAAGATGAGATATAATGAGAAAAAGAAAACTAGAACGTAAGTAGATCAATTTCATATACCAAAATACTAATGCTTTGCTTAATTGAGATTTTCCATTATGTTGATTAGCTAAGTGATTATTTTGACGAGGGTTTATTTTGTGCAAATCATGATTTTTTGCCTTTAATTGACATTTCACCATTAATATACATTCTTTTACAACATGCAGGTTCAGAAAGCAAATAAGATATGCTTCACGTAAGGTCAGGGCAGATACGAGAAGGCGAGTTAAAGGCAGATTTGTTAAGGCTGGGGAAGCTTATGATTTTGATCCATTAGTAACAAGGGATATGTGAGCTAAGATAGCTAATTTTGGGCCATTCTACTTTGTCAAATTACTTGCCCAAGTGTTAAAGTATCTTAATGTAAAGATACTTAAACCATCAAATTCCTTTATGACAAGTCGAAAGAATTTAAGCTAGTACCAGAGCTAGAAAATTTGTCATGTTGGTTGTGTCAGTCAATCTGACTTAGTTATGACAACAAACCTGAATGAGATGTATGTATTCTGTCTCTGTGTGCAGCGCTTTTGAAGATATAATTAAGTAAATAAAAGTATTTCTTCTCTAATATTCGAAGGTGATCATGACACAATTCGATATGGTATTAGAGTAGACGATGTCATGAGCAGTGGCGGAGCTACTCATTTGCAAGGGGAGTCAATTGATACCCCTTCGTCGAAAAATTATACTGTATAGATAGGTTTAATTATTATTTTTTATGGATATATATTATATGTTGACCCCCCTTTAATTTTTTGTATAGTTACTTATTTATATTTTGACTCCTCTTAGTAAAAATTCTGGCTCCGCCACTGACCATAAGTTCAAGGGAATGATTCAAAGAAAAGATGGTCATTGGGATCTAGAAGAATGAAGATCACGAGGAAAATGATACTAATGGAATATGAAGGGAATTATGTTGTTTTTCTCTGATATATATCCGGTTAAGCCTTGGTATTGAACTATCGAATCAGAATAATACTATTTCGGTTTGTAATTACAGGCCAACTTTATGATATATTGATTCATATTAAACTTTAAGGATTCGTTTGGTACGTGAGATACGGGATAATTAATTTCACGATTAAATTTGAGATGAGTTTATCTCACGTTTGGCCCAGGATTGTAGTGTTTTTTATTCTTATGAGAGGGTGAGATAACTAGTTCCGGAATAATTAATAATGGGATAACTTGTTTTCCAAACAAACGACTCCTAAATCATGAGTAGTCCTATATATCCAAAACACAAGTAAAAGGAAAAAGAAAATAAAAGGCACAAGCCATAAAATTAACTTTGGTTCATGCTCATAAAATTAACTTTATATGATATCATGGAGAGGAATTGTAGAGGAGAAAAATGAAGAGGTATGAAGCCCATACTCCATAGCAATACCATAAGCAGCTAATCATTATTTGAAATGCGAATAATTGCATAGTAATAGTTTCTAACATTTTGTTTTAAAAAAATAATTAATCCTTTTACATCTTAAGTAGTTCTTACTCCAAATTAAATTCAATGAACAAATGGAAAACATATTGGGAAATTGATTTGAGATAAAGCTTACTACAAGAATGAAACGATATGAGTACTTGTTCAGTTGTTTGATATTCTTTCTGACATAGAAATGATATCCACCTCATACTTTTGACATTACACCTGCTAGGCAGCCACCGCCACATAATTATATTTTCACGATAAGCGATCCGTAGGGTCCTTACTATGGTACTAAATCAATGCCTTTAATTAGATTATGGCTCAAAAATTTCCAAAGCCAACTACAGAAAACATGGCTAGAAAAGCATCTTTGTAATTCTGGCCAAAGATAAGACATTCTCAATGTTATCAAATACATGATCTAGGATGGATTCTGCGGGTTTAACCGAATCCATTACTTTTAGCTCTGTTATTAAATACATGCAAATCTTGAATGAGTTCAACATATTCAATTAAACTCACTATTCTTAGCTCGAATTAGTCACACGGATGCAAAAAGATATTTAAATTATAAGTATATAATAGATCACATCGATTGTGAACATGTTGATTCATGAACGTTAAATTTGCCTCTACTATCAAAGATCTCGAAACTAAAACGCCATATTTGAATCTTTTCTCAGTTCTAGAGGGATGGTCCAGTAAGTATGAGGCTAATAACAACAACAAATTCAGTATAATCTCATAGGTGAGGTATGAGAAAAGTAATGTGTATGTCGACCTTATTCCTACCTTGTGAAAATAGAGAGACGATTTCTAGTAGACCCTCGGATCAAAGAACAGTGAAAATAAAACAACAAACAATTACACATCAACAATGAGTAAGATCAACAATGAGTAAGAGGTCACAAACTCCAATTCTAGTCACCTCATTCCTTGTTTCATTATATACTAGTGTATGATTAAAACAAATAAGAACCCTTTCTCAAGAGGAAAATGAAAATAAAATAAAAAAGCAGAAACATCAACTTGTCTGCCTATCATGAAACTCAAAACTTTTTTCCTGTTTAATTGGAACCAAAATACAAAAAAAAAAAGGGAAAAACAAAACATGAGCTTCTATATAGTAATCAAAGAAACAAGAAAGGTTCTTTCACTGTTATTGAACAATCTTCCTCAGAATCTGAACTATATCTTCTACTACTTTTCTGTGTAAAACTCACAACTGTTGGAAGTGTAACTTCTGATGAAACTCCTATCAAATATCTCTGTGTTAAGCTTTTGCAAATTCCACAAAGAATACACCTTATATGTCTTTGAGCCAAAAAATTAGCCCCATGTACCCATTTATCACATTTTCTACAAAGAAATGCATCATCTGCTTGACAGTATAAATAGGCCTCTGATTTACAAAGTGCACAAGAAACACTACCAATTGCCTTTGTTTTTTCTTCTTCACCTTCTCTTCTTCCTTTACACATTTCTTTTTTAGTTTTTTTGGAGAAAATAATAATTATTGATATGAGTGAGAAAATGGCGTAGGGTTGGTATTTATAGAGTTATTTTTGGATGTAGGTGTGTTGCTTCTTTGTATGAAATTCTTTGGAAAGACAACATTGACACTGTTACACTATTGGACTAATGTTGATATCATGTAACGGAGGTCACGAATTCAAGTTATAAAAATAGCCATTTATAAAAATACAAGGTAAGATATTGTGTATAATATACTCTTGTTGTTCGTCATTTCTCGGATCTTGCCCCTAACGGGAGTTTAATGTAGGGACTTTCCTTTTTCACGCTATAGGACAAATGGTCACTGTTTAGCTATTTTAAACTACTTTTTCATGTACTTTTATGTTGGTTATTTTATTAGACTTAGTTAAGTAAATTATAGAGTTTTTAAAAGAATGGTTTCATCTCTAATTGCTTATTTTTCAACAGTACTTTCTTCACAGTGCAAGTGGATCGACAAGACAGAGTTCATAATCAGAATTATTAAAAAGAAAATTATTGATTTTAAAGAGACCTTAGAGTTTAGACCCTCAGACAAACTTTTTCGCATTTGCTATTTGTATCAACACAATAAATGATTATTGCTTTTTACTTATTTAACCATGGTTAATTAAGTGATATATACTCTCACTTTAATGTATGATTTTTAAGATTAAGCTATTTAGTTCGATGTAAGTATTGAATGTGCAAATAAATATTTTTCAGGGACCCTCGTATTGATATTTTTGCCGCTAACATAATTAAAACAGAGAAAATAAAAAGCTTATGGTGTCTAATTACATTGCATAAACAGATCAAATGGTTTCAATTATTATTGTTATTATTCAGTTAGACCTTATCATGCACCAATTATGGGGCAAGTGCACATATAGTCATTTTCAGGGATGCTATTTAGAGATTAGTCAGTACTTACTTTTGTCCTGAAATTTTAAACTAAAAGTTTTAAATTCGGGACAATTCAGGATATTTTTGTCCTGAAAATTTAAACTGAAAAACTAAAATTCATGACGTATTGACTAATTTCTAAATATCATACACCAATTATCGGTATGATAATTTTTTGCGGCAACACAAATTCGTTGTGTAAATCGGACAAATGCACAATTTATTCTCATTTTGTTTAAAGTTTCATTTCTAACTTGCGAATTTCACATGTAACCCAAAATTCTCCACAAAGAAAATTAAAAAATTATTTAAAGTGCATAATTGGAAGTGTTTAATGTTTAAATCTTTCACGTCCAAATATAATTGCTATAACCCAAAACCTTAAACTCAAAAGAAAATTTCTTAGAAAGAAAACGTGTATTGTACTGATGAATACAAAATCATGTCAGTCTAAGTTAATTAGTAACATTTAATTGTATCTTTAAGCTATTTATTCAAATTTTTGTAGGAAACATTATGGATAAATCATGGTATAAATCTTCATTATGTGTTATTTCCTCCGGCCTGCTTTAATTGAATTTTTAATTATTTTTTTGTGGTTCACAATATTTTTTGTAGATGTGTCAAGAAGGATTTTTTTCTTTTTTTCAAAGTTATCATTGGAGTAAAGAGTATTGGAGTATCTGCTATATTTTTAATGAACAAATTAAAGAGATAGTGAAAGTTAATATGATCAATTTCATTATTATATTAAAAATAAATTATTTAATATGTATGATAACAACTAAAATATTAATTAAAATGTACCGGAGAAAGTATACACTCAACCAAAGCGAATAACGGCAAATTTGTAATTTTGAGGAGAATGATTGAGTACAACTAATTAGCAGAAAAAAAGAAAGATAAAGAGATTAGTTGATTAAGGCATTACACTTTAATAGATGTTTGACGGGATGTTATGAGCCATAAATTTTTGCTGTTCAGTGGTTAGAAAGTCAATTTTGGTTTACTAAAGAAGATAGAGTTGAGTGGCCAAGAATTAAAGCTTATTTTTTCAAAACTATGGAAAACCACCATCCGATTTTATGGAATCCCCCACACGTACCCACAGAAATGATAATCTTTTTCTTTAGGTGACAATTGATTTGACCTATTTCTACAAATTCTGATTCTTTGTCCACAGTTAACTACTCTCTTCATTTCAATTTTATGTGGCATAATTCAAGTGAGCAAAAATTTCAGTAATAAAGAAAAAAAACGTTTATACTTTATTTTTTAATCATAAGATACTTTATATCATAAGATTTTAATGGTTAATGTCCACTATTTGTAATATAAAAGATTATATTTTTTTGGACGAAGTAATATAGTGAAGTTTCAAGCATCTAACAGTGTGGCCTAGTGGTCAATTAAGTGGGTGAAAATTACAAAGTTTCATATTCAAATTCCAGCAGAGACAAAAAAATACTAGATGATTTCTTCACATATGTACAAGCCTCCATGAACAGGGGCGGAGCCACAGTGTTGGTTGTGGATTCGGTCGAACCCAGTAACTTTTGTTCAAACTCTGTATTTGTATTTAAAAATTCAATAAATATGTACAAATTATTAATTTAGAACTC